GCTTCATAACGTCACTGTCATGATGTTAAACATTAAACATGTAATCCAAATATTTATACAGACAGCTGAATTTCATACATTTATCTCCATGTACCTCTAGCTGAGACTTCATTTCTAGTGGATGAAGACAAATTTAGTCTTGAGGAGTAGTTCCTTAAAATGGTCTTTATTATAACTTCACCAGTTTGAGAGTTTAGGTTTAATCCAGGGGTCCTACAGAAAAAGGATTAAATTTTCTCTTTGGTTTTTTTATTTTCCCCTCTTTTTCTTATGTCAAAATGTCATTTACTCAATCATTCCCCAAACACCACAAGTTTTACTCCTTTTCCTATGAAAAGGGCAAGAATTGGGCACAACCCAAATGAATATCATGTGTGTTTTTCATGTGTTGTCATTTAATTGTGATTCTGGGGTTTGAGCACCCCAGAGGTCTTCCTGCGTACACAGGGTGACCTTTTATAACCTCCACAGTTATACAGAGCTATCCTAAAAGACCTTACAAGTCTCAGGTATATCCAAACAAAACATGAAAATGTCACACACAGGAATATAAGGCTTTTTCAGGACTTCAAATCACTTTCTTAGTAAATAGCAATGTATCTTTTTTTTTTTTTTTGGTCCCCTTTGAAGGGGACAAAATTCAAAGAATAAAGTAATTGCTTGTGCTGTTTCAATCACAATTTTCTATGAATAGACATGCCTATATTTACTTATTATTTTTTACTGACTATGGGATTTTAAGGTGTTAGTGATGTAGCTTCTGCCATCACAGCAACTTGGAATTAAAATGAAAAAGTGATCCATTAATTTTTGGATTAATGTCCTTTGATCTTATTCTTGTTGTTCCTCTGAAAATTCCTGTAAGATAAAGGTGCTGTTTTCTGTGCCCTTCATGTGTGCTGTGCTTGCTACACAGGCCTTCATAAACACTTGCACTGTGGTGCAATCCTTTGCTGTTCTCGTGACTTTTTGTCCCAAATGCTGAGCAGCCTGTTTGCTTGGATTGGGGTTATGTTTTTGCAATTATTCTGACTCACAGTTCTGCCTGCTTTGTTGTCATAGAGAGCTTTTCTTGTCACAGTCTGAATTATTTTTAACCCTGGAAATGTAAATTCTTTTTAACAGTTTCACTGCAATGAAAAGATAGAGTGATTTCCTTTCCTTGCTAAATTCCAGTCACATCAAGGTTAATTATAGTTCTTCTGAGTGTCACCACATATTTCTAGTCCCAGACCCTCCCAGACTGTCAATATTACAGGAGCAATTCCTCAGCTCTATGTCAGCCACAAGTTCTCAGTTTTGCTTGACTTGCTGGATAGATGACTATCTTAATCCTTCCAGCCATCTTAACTTTTGTAGGAATTTTAACTCTAGTAATATTCTCTGGTAACATGCTTCATTCTAAGGCATTTTTAGTTATTTTTTACTCATTTGTGTTTACACATTTTTCAGAGCCAAGACCCATTCCTTCTTAGTACCTGAATCCTAACCAGCCTGCACTGTGGCAGCAGAAGTTTCTCCATAATGTAGCAACTAATCCCAAAGCTCTCTTGTCAGAGTATAATAAAATTATGGATGTAGGTATTTAAGGTCTGCAAGACAGCTCAGCACCTGTCCTCTGTGCACTGAAGAAGATATCTGTGTACACATCTTTCAGCTGGAGTGTGATAAACTCTGTCCAGTGGTGGATTCTTATTCTTAGGAATAACTGGAACAAGTCTTGGTGAGAACCTGCCCTGCCATATAAGTGCAAATTCACTATTACATACAATTAGTTACTTGTGGAGAAGTGACTATTGCTCAGTAGAATGGGCAGCTTTCCATGTTATTTCATCCAAATAATGTATGTAATATTTGCTTATGAGGTTATTATAGGCTTGTATTGTTGGGTGGCTCTAAATCCCCCTTCTTTCTTCTTTGTAGCTTCCTTGGCTCAGATAAAGTTCCAACATTTAAACCTACCTATATCCCTCCCAACATTATATATTTAACTAAAACATTCGATATTTAACTGAATCATGCAGTTGGTCCTCTTAGGGTTCTTTCAGAGTCAATAAAGAAAGTCAGAGTAATTTTCAGGTACTTATTGAGATCTTACAGTAATTTATTCAACTCCCTATTTCACCTGGGAGACCCATATGGCAACTGTGCCGCTTACATAGTCACATTTACTTAGCCAAAAAAATCAAATTTTTACTGAGAATCCTTAGTGTAGCCGAGAGTTCTTTAAATAGTACATGTCTAAAGGTACTAAGAGGGAAAAGTATGGCTTATGTATTTTTTATATGCAAACGGTGTTTCTTTTGCTCAGAATTGTCAACATTTTCAATATGAGAGACACACTTCCCTTGTGTAAGCAAACACATGTATTGGAAAGGAAAGGTTAATGATGGCTAATGATCTGCTCCATCAGATTCCCACACAGAATAGAGACAAAACAAAGTACCACACAACATTTGTATTAATCTAAAGTCATAAAAATACTGGGAGGCAAGTGTTCCTCTTTATATATGGACTGTTTGTCCCAGAAGCCAATGCAGGTAATCTGCCAGAAAGATTTCATGTGAAACAGATTTTGGCAGAATAGCAGTTGCAGGTAATTTGGCATTTTATTTGTCAAACAGCTTCAGCAAATTCTGCATAACTTTATGGGATCAAGCAGGATTAATCTTTTACCTTGTGCAAGGAACATTAATATAACCCAAAATCATCAAGCATAAACTTGCCAAGTCTAATAAAAATGTATGTATTTCTTACCTTCTGTGCTCGTGAACTGAAGATATATGAGGTTGTTTCTCATTGTAAGTCTCCCCTCCACACATTTCTGTAACTATCCAGACAAACCAAACAGTCAGACTTTAAAAATGAAATTAATTTACTATATCAGGTTGTCAAAAACTTAATTAAAAGAGAAAGGGGGACCTTTATTATCTTTCAGTGGAATCTGTTAAAGCTTAAAAATAGCATTTTAGAATGTTTTGTTCACTTCATTCATATAAAGCACTGATCTGACTTTCATCTGAGTTTAAAAAATGTTTCAAAACTCCAGTCATGTAATTTTAGTGTGTCTTTATAGGTGAGGAATTCCAGAATATATGACCTACCTGGCATTTCCCTGGAAAGACAGCAGCCTTCAACTCAGGACAAACCCACATGGAACCTTTACAACTACCTGATCTTTTTCCTAATCATATAATGCATCTCACTGAGAGAGAAGAATATTAATTTACTTTTTAAAAACAGTATTTATAAACCCAAGGATTAAAATTAACAATTTAAAATGTCAGATCCTTACTGGAGAAATTGAAACATCCCTAATTGCTGTATTAAGAGAAATAAGTATACATTAATACATATATCTCTGTATGGAGGTATGTAAAAGAAAAAAAATGAGCCTTGTACAATATTCAGTATCTAAAAGCTGTCATTTTCTCTCCAGATTTTGACATTAAATGTCACCTGAGGCCACTGTTTACTTCTGTTCTAAAACCACTGACAGTCTTTTGGGACACCAACACCATATGGATGTGCCTGTTACTGTAACAAATTCAAGAAGTGCATTCATTACTTTATGAAGAAAGTATTTCTATTTATTATGCAGCCACAAAGAAAAATGTACTTTTGAGCGTACAGTATGGGGCATGGGTGGAAGCAATCCCATGTTTTTCTTCATGTCACACTCCTCACCCTCTGTTTTGATCTACTGTATTTACTTAACATAACCACTTCATATTTGGGAATATACACTGAACATTTTTTCCATCACTCTGCACAGACCTTTCTATACTGTTTAAAGTTCTCCAGCTTTCCTTGTTTTTCTGATCTCCTAGAGTCATTAACCAATTACAGCTGGGATCAAGGCCAAAACCAGCTAAGTATCACAACTGAGATTATCTCAAGTGGTACCTTACTTAAACTGCTGAATAATCTTTTTTTAGGGTTCAGATAAACATTGGTTGAGTTTTCTCATACCTTATGCCTTCCTAAAGGTCCTTCACTTTTGCTTTATTGTTTATGTTCTTTTCTTTTTCTAAAGCTTCCTAGAGGAAGTGAGGTAGAGTCCCAGCTCAGCTACATTAACTGTAAATTAGGATAGCCCTCTTCCTTCACAGACTTTCTCTGGAAAAAAATGGCAGTTAAATTATATTATGGTCTCTGTACAGCTTGCCCCCAAATCCCTAAAAGCAACACTTTCAGCAGATCTGGTCTGTGCTTTCATTTTATTTTGCAGTGTCTCTGGATTATTTTACATTTCACAAGAAGAAAACCAATTTTCTGCAGTCCCCCTACTTGCAGGACACAACAAATAGTCAGATTTGGTCTTCTATGCAGTATTTCAAACCACAAATCTATGACATAGGATGACCTGACAACATGGGATGACAACAAATTAGCTTAAACTCTTTCTTGTTAACAAATGTTTCTTCCTCCTCACTGCTTATATTAGGAAGAGGTGGCTATATCTTCTCTAAAGCAATTCAGTTTTCTCCCTTACTCTGAGTTAACTGCTAATAAAATATTCTGAGAAAAATAATATCTTATCTCAGGAGTTTTAATCTTAAAACAGGAAAATTCTGTTATCAAATAGTAAAATTAATCTGATTTTCCCACTGCAAAAATACAGATAAAAGCAAAACACATTACCTGTGGAAATGCCAAAAAACAGCAAAAGGAGCTATTACACTATATGACATTGATTTGTTAATCTGCATTTATTTATTCTTCTGCTTCACAGAAGAGAATATTACAGAGAACTCTGTAAGTTGTTAAAACTTGGACATCCCTGCAAATTGATGTAGTACTGCACCTCGAATGAATTGTTTGGGGTGAAAGTGTTCTTATCTGACTCTGTTGCTGGAGATGCATCTGCCCTCAAGAGATGGGGCAGATAACTGTGTTTACAAAAGCGGGTTTCAAGAACATGCAATACAAAGACGCTCGCATATGGATGCAGACACACACTATCACAGTACCAGTAAGTCATTGTAACCAAGCTTTTAATGTCATTTATAAAAAAATAGAGTTATTTACATTTGCAAGTTATTTGATGGCATCCTCTTTTATTACAACGTTTAAATCTGTACGGAAATGACACACTAACTCATTTGAGAGTAAACTTCTCAATGATAAGCATAACAGTACAGGAAAAATATTTAAAACACTGTGAATTCTTGTTATTTTGCAGCATCATACAAACACATTCTTTAAAACACGTGCACACTGGCCTTACAATAAGCAGAATTCCCTTCCAGATTAAGGCACAGAAACTCTTGCCACATTTCTAGGGCAGTCCCACATGCTTACATGTGGCATTTCCAGACATAACCAAAGGAATTACTTTAATTCCAATGGGTTGTAGCAGAATGTGCCCACTTACACATTTTTAAGAAAACTCTGATCAAAGGGACCAAAAGAAAAAAGTATGACTAATTGCATAGTTGCAAGAAACCAGACCCATGAATACAAAAGCCATCAAAATATATTATAAATCTATCTGACTTTCAAAGCTACTTTAAAATACTGTTTTGCTTTACAAGACAAATAACACTATTTGGGGTTAGTTTGTAGAATTGTATTTTGGTCCATGCTGTTAATTCTATATCATTATATTCCTCTTCCATTAGTTTAAAAGCCTCAGAACAGCAGGTCCTCAGGCAGTGGTAAGAATGATGAAGCCAAGTCTTAGACTTCAGCTGCTGCAGTCAGTTCATAAACCTCTAATTTCAACCACCTCCATTCTTTACTGCTTTAAATAATCTGCCCTCAGAACATTAAGGGGAAAGAATGATGAGGGATGCAGATTTAACACTGTTAGAGATGGGAGTTTGCCCCATCTTCTAGTCCTGAGCTGATAAATCACAGCTCTTAAAAAATATCCAACCCATTAAAAACAAAAAACAAAAAAAACAAACAAACAAAAAAAAAAGATCAACAATAAGAAATCCTCTATTTAGTCTGACTATGCAGTAGTTCCACATAATCTGCTGGCAGTAGAAACTTCTTTGGTGTCAGAGTCAGGTCTTCCTGAAACCACAAACGGCCAAGTCTGTAAGCAGAAAAAAAGGTATTTCATATTAAAAGAAAGTTTATCCTCATATGAAACTGGAGCTTTATTACTGATAGATGTCTAACTCTGGTTCAGTTGCAAACACGTCATCATGTTTTAGTCCCTGTGGGAAGCACAGAGAGAGCTGAGTTCCTCTAACAAATATTTTCATTACGTTTTTCATTATAATTAAATGCTCCACAGAAGGTCTGCAATAGTCAGCGGAACTGTTCACATCCAAACTGCAATGTTTCTCTTGCTTTGAAACTCTTTGCGTCATTTAATAAATAAAAAGCATATAAACTATTTCAAAACAATCACTCTGCTGCATATAAGAAAACGTTTTACCCCTGTGACAAGCATCGGGCGTTTAATTTTGTACCGATGAACTCATGACGCTCTGCTTGTGCTGCAGGCCAGCCGAGTTACTCCTTTTTCGGACACTAAGCTTGCCTAGTGCCCGAGGAATGTAATCTTTAGGGTCTCCTATTCTGACTCCCCAGGACTGACACACCCGCCATCACCCAAAGCCAAGCTCGGCCCTGGAGTCGCCCACGGCGCGAGGGCCCCCGGGGATTTGCGGAGCAGCCAGGGCCGGCTCGCCGCTCCTTCCAGGGCGGTCACGGCCTGAGCGCTGCCACCCTGCCCGGGTGCTGCCCCGGGCGGTGCGCGGGGATTCCCCGCGGGTGCCCCTCGCCGCATCCCGCCCGTCCCCGCGCCGTACCAGGTTGACGGGATGGATGTAGCCGTTCTCGTAGCGGTCCTCCTGCAGGAGCTGCCGGAGGTGGGCGATGTAGCTGGACGCCAGGCGCAGCGTGTCCAGCTTGGAGAGCTTGGTGTCGGGCGGCACCCAGGGCAGGCTCGTCTTCAGCCGGGAGAACGCCTTGCTCAGCACCCGCATCCGCGCCCGCTCCCGCGCGTTGGCCGCGTTGCGCTGGGACTGCTTCCCCTCGGGCGGCGGCCCCCGCGGCCCCGACGCCGCCTTCTTGCCCCCGGGGCCGCCGCCCCGCGCCCGTTTCCTCTTGCAGCCGCTGCCCGCCGGCCCCGCCGCGCAGCTGCCCTCGCCGTCCTCTTCCTCCTCTTCTTCCTCCTCTTCCTCCTCCTCCGCCGCCGACGAGTTGTCCCCCGAAGGGTAGAGCTCGCCGCGGGGCTGGCGCTTGGCCGGCGGCGGTGGGTATTCCAGCTGCAGCGCCCGCAGGTCCATCTCGGGCAGCTCCTCCGCCTCGCTCGCGGAGCCCGTGGACATGGCCCCGGGCGGGCGGCGGGGAGGCGGGCAGCGCGGCGGGCGGGCGGGGGCGGACGGCCGAGCC